TAGAGAAAAAATTATATAATTTTATTTTTATTATAAATTATATAATTTTGAATTACCTATTTTAATAAATTAAAAATTCAAATAATATTAGCGACAATACTAATTCATATTTTTATCTATTCAAAGTTTAGATAATGATTACACTAAGAGAAATTGTTAAAAATGCCCCTTTTTCAATACCCCTTTTCAAAAATGCCCCTTTTGAGAGTCCATTTTTAAGTTTGCCCTCTTTTAATTTTTAATGACCATTTTACCCTTATTTGAAACAAAATTAGGTCCAAAAAATATTTTGTATTTTTTGGACCTAATTTTGTTTCAAATAAGGGTAAAATGGTCATTAAAAATTAAAAGAGGGCAAACTTAAAAATGGACTCTCAAAAGGGGCATTTTTGAAAAGGGGTATTGAAAAAGGGGCATTTTTAACAATTTCTCTTAGTGTAATCATTATCTAAACTTTGAATAGATAAAAATATGAATTAGTATTGTCGCTAATATTATTTGAATTTTTAATTTATTAAAATAGGTAATTCAAAATTATATAATTTATAATAAAAATAAAATTATATAATTTTTTCTCTAGATCTTTTGGAAGACTTATTTATTCAATGTTGATTTATTAATAAAGTCAATTTTTTTAACTACGACTTATTTTTCACTTATATTGATTTCATTTTCTTTTCCATCGACTTATTTTAAAACACTCGACTTATATTTTGATTGGTTGATTTATAATATAGTCGATTTTTTGAACTGTTAATTTTTTTTTCTGTTCATCGATCTATAATTTTTGTTGTTGACAGGTTTTTGATTACATTTTTGGATCACAATTAGCAAATAAATCCTGAAGTTGAGAAGTATTTACAATGGCATGCCATTAACATTAATTATTTAGATTTTTTTTATTTAAGTAAAGATTTTTAAATGAAATTCATTTCTCATATCTTTAGCAAAAGTCTCTACAAAATCTTTCCTTATCTATTTAAGTAAAGATTTTGAAATCAAATATGTTCTCAACAATTTACCAAAAATCTCTACACAATCTTTTTAAAAATCTCGACTTAGTTAACTTCTGATTTTTATCTGCAAAAAAAAAAAATTAATAGTAACGAGTGATGTAAAAATCGGGAATGTTGATATTACAATTTCTTCTACTTTTTTTCATATAATGAAAATTATTTTTAGGGATATTTTCTCAAAACCTCTAAATAAAACAAAAGGTTTCAAAAGATAGCTTCTCTTTTGGCGGGTCGACACGCAAACCCGCAACTCTCTACGGGCTTATCCGCATGAACATGCGACCCGTAGTGGATAAAAATATTATTCAAAAAAATAACAAATGATGTTTAATTTTACGGGACGAGGTTATATGGTGCAACGGGTTTAGATCGATATTAATATTAAAAAATATACTATGGATGAAATATTAGAATTAAAAATCAAAATTTAATTATAAAATCAGAAACACTAAACAAAATAAACAATATTAACAAAACAAATACAACTTAAAATTTTGCTAAATAATTTTTTAGTTATAAAAAATCGACCTGCGGAGTAAAATCTAGTTTATACTTAGTAGATTTACTTCTTTCTATGTTGATTTATTAATAAGTTTATTTTTTGAATTTACCTACTGAGTTTCTTCTTCATTGACTGGAAAGTCGTCTTGGGATTTGATGAAAACAGTGACTGGAATCACCCCTAACTTAAATATCATTGGAGAGGCCAACGAATTTCATCGTATTATACACGTGTGTGGTCTTAGGTTCCAAGTTTAGTGAAAATCATGCAACCATAGTTAGACTCAATTTACAAAGCCTAATTTATATCTTTCATTTACTCTTCTTCTCTTTGAAGAAAGATTACTCTCTATCGTTAATCTTTATTTATGGTAAATACTAAATACTAGATAAGAACGTTTGATGAATTCAGACCTTTATTCCTATGCTCTTGGATCAATCAAGTATGTAACTTTCATAACTTTTTACTATGTTTCTCAAGCCATGATAGCCTTATGAGGAAACAGAGTTATGCAATTATTGGGTTAGCTTCACAAAGATTAGACAAAGCTTTCACTTCCAATTAAATTAAAGACTCATCTTAGACTAATACAAGGCATAATTTCTGATTCTCTCCAATTATCATAACCAAATATAAAAACTGAAGCTTTAAATAAGTCATAAATCAACAAGACCACACAAATGGGTGATCAAATGATTCAATTCCAATAAGGACAAATCTTAGTTAAGAGACCTTACATGATACTGAACATATAAGATTGTAAATTCATGCAAAAACCAGAAACTAGTCGTTAACAAATAGACTCACCTCTAGAGAAACATAGGATTCTCCACATGATTCAAAAAGACGTTCGTAATAGGAAAGCCATCTTCAGGCTCCACTCTTCTAGCACTATCTTTCTTGAGATCATAGTAGACGATGAATGACGGGTTAGGCTGAGAGTGTGGTGTAAATACAAACTCGCCGGTACTTATGGTACCCCTGCAACGGAAATAGTAATTCTGTCCAACTAAATCATTCCAACAAGGAACCACAAGATACTTCTTTGACCATTCTTTTTTCTCGACATCATCAAGAACCCACAAGTCAACTACACCACCATATGATTGTTCCACCAAGGCTATCCTCTTGTGATAGTTCACCACTTCAGATCGATGATTAGTTCGAATTTCGACATCATTAGGTAATTTCACACACCTAAATTGTTCAGATCCCACGTCGAAACACACTACTAGAGATTCATTGCGGTCACTGTCGGACCAAGCTCCATAGTATACAACTCCGTCCTTACACAACCCTAGAGTTGCAGGAAAATGTGGAATGTGACAATCAACACGCCTCCACTCTTTCGTCTCAGCTCCTAAAGTGAAAACTTGATGCTCTCCCCACACAAATGGTCTGTGTTGGTAAAGAACTTGGACCATCGTCATGCACAACACTTTGTATACATCTTCAACAGGATCGTATCCCAAAAAGCTTAATACGCTCTTTCTCCTAGTTTTGACTTTAGGTAAAGCTAGGACTTGGCCTGTGCTAGGATTGAAAATGACCACTTTAGAACCATTTTGACAAGACATCAAGCCGCGGACTGGTGTTGAAATCGTATAATCTTGATCCAGAGTAGTATATGATGTAGTGTTACGATGAAGAGACGATGGTGGCTTATAAAAGAATGAGTTGAAGAAGAACCTGTTGGCGGCGGCATGACTGAATGTGAAGAGAAAACACGGGCGAGTCAACGAACGAGCCAGGAAAAGATCGGTGAAATCTTTCTTTCGGATTGTAGAATACCAGAGCTTTGCAATAGAGATTAACTTGACTAAGGGTTTAGCCGGCAGTCTTGTGAGAATCTCTCTGATCAGATCTAGAGGAATAGAGACTGAGTTTTCCTCATTGTTCTTTGCGATCGTCTCCTTCTTCCAAATTCTTTTCACGGTGATTTTACTCTTTTTCATGGTGATATTCCTCTCTCGGCGGCACAGAAAACTTTTAAAAACCCTTGTCTGTGAAAATGTATTGAAAACAAAACGTTATGAATGTGATTACAACCAAAAAAAAAAAAAAAAAAAAAATCTGAAGCCCATTGTTGGCCCAGCTTCATTTAGGGTTTACGAGTTTTCAAGTTTATAGTTTATATATTATCCTCTACTTATGCTGTAAGAAATCAGGGAACAAAAAAAGGAAAAACTGTGTTGCAATTTTGAAACAACGACGATGGCGATATTGAATCTTCCAAGGGATTTGATAGAGGAGATTGTCTCTAGAGTTCCTTTGAAGTATATGAGAGCAGTGCGATTAACTTGCAAAACGTTGAACGCTTTATCCCAAAGTTCGAGCTTTATGAAGTTGCACATAGGTAAAGAAGCAGCAGCAATAAAGGAAGGGGAGACTCGAATGATCATGTTGATGGATTGCAATCTTTATCTAATCAGTGTCTTCTTCAAAGGAGTTGATATTGATCCATATACAGAGCATAAAGGTAAACTTACTTGCCTAAACGATTCAGATCAAGTCACAATATCTCAAGTCTTTTACTGCGAGGGTTTAGTGTTATGCATCTTCAAAGACAGTACTAGGTAATTAACAAAAAAAAAAAAAAAAAAAAGACAGTACTAGGTTTGTGGTTTGGAATCCGTATTTGGGGCAAACAAGGTGGATCAAACCCAGTTATTCTCATCGCAGAGACGAATGTGACAGCTTCAGTTACGCTCTCGGATAAGAGGATAAGAAATCTTGTCGTAGCTACAAATTATTGAGGTTTATAGATTATTTTTGTGGTATACCCGAACGACAAATTTTATGTTATGAAATCTACGATTTTGACTCTGTTTTGTGGACGACTCTTGATGTCACTCCACATTGGCGGATAGTACCGTTTGGTAACCGTAGCGTTTTCCTTGAGGGAAACACTTACTATTGTGCTTCAGAAAGGAACTCAGAAGTGGACGGACACCATGGACACAAAGATCACATAATCTGTTTTGATTATACAAAAGAGAGATTTGGACCGCTTCTACCTCTGCCGTTTAGCGCCGGGTATGATGACTATGTGACTTTATCTTGTGTTAGAGAAGAGAAGCTTGCGGCTTTACTTACGCATAACGAAGTAAATCTATATGAGTTTGACATATGGATCACGACTAAGATTGATGCCGAAAAGATATCGTGGAACAAGTTCTTGACAGTGGATTCGCAACCAGACATTCCGAATATATGTGGGGTTTCTTCATTGATGAGGAGAAGAAAGTCATCATGGGTCTACGAGAACCTGACTGCAGAAATTGTTGGCCACATGTGTGCATTTATGATCCAAGTTCAGTGCAAATCAAATCTCCTGCAGGAGACCAGGTCCGTTCCGTCCATAAGATAGTTAAAGCATGTGCTTTAGGCCGTAGTTTATATAAAAAATTATGGGAAATATTTTCAATTATTTTAGGTAGCTGAGATGGTTATGTAAACTTTGTACGATTCCTTGGTCGTGGAGGAAACAACAAAGCAACTTAGAAAAGTGTCAAGCAGGAGGATGATGAAAGGAGATAGATTCATTTTCTTTTCTTCTCTTTGAACAAAGATTACTCTATTATTAGTTTTTTTTTCCATCTTATGCAATATGATGAAGTTTTGGTAAGATGTCTAAAAACAAAACAGATAACATTTTTTAGTTAATGTTAGTTTGATCTAAGGATATCATTTAGGTACCCCGGTAGGGAAAAAAAATGTTTTGATATCTAATAGTACTAGTCTTATAGGGATTGTTGGTTTTCATTTCATTTGTCATTAATATTTAATTAGGGTAAATAAGAATGTTAGATCAAAATTAAGACCTCTTTTTGTTTCTTAGAATTGGATCTGAATTACGAATTATAGTTCTTCTTGAAAATTGTCTCTGAAGTGATCAGATTTATAATCTGTTAAATTACTGCAAGTTCCAGTTCTGAACTTTACAAACTCAACTCGAATGATTCATTGTTTGAGATTACGAGAATCTTTTTTTGACACTTGGAAGTAACAATGGAGAACATTCTCAATCATATGAGATTCATTCATTATGCATTTTAATTTGCTTAGACTAAAGTCTGAAGATATATGAACAGGTTTATAAAGAATTATATGTACTTGTATTAGTGTTTACTGTTTATTTAGGGAATTGCAGATAAACCCTCTCACTTAAAACCTTGACAGAAATTTTGGCTTCTTTTTTAGTTCAAAGAAAAACCCTCCAGCAAATTTCTAAGATCAACAAATGAATTTAAAGATTCTGAAGCCCACGGTTGGCCCAACTTCAGATTCATATATATATATCTACTTCTACCGCGGTAACAAATCAGAGTAAAAGAAGAAACACGTTTTTGAAGGTTATCTCAAAAAAAAAAAAAAACCTTGTTGCAACTTGAATAAACGACAACGATGATCTTAAATCTTCCAAAGAGATTGTCTCTAGACTTCCCATGAAGTATATGAGAGCACTGAAATTAACTTGCAAAACGTTGTACGCTTTATCCCAAAGTCCGAGCTTTATGAAGTTGCACATTAGTAAAGAAGCAACGCCAACAACAAGGGACGGAGAGTCGATGATCGTGCTGATGGATTACAATCTTTATCTAATCAGCTTCGTCTTAAACGTTGATTCATCTGCAGAGCATAAAGGCAAACTTACTTGCTTAAACGAACAAGTCAAGATATCTCAAGTCTTTTCCTGTGAGGGTTTATTGTTATGCGTATTGAAAGAGTATAATTTTAAGCTTGTGGTTTGGAATCCGTATTTGGGACAAACAAGGTGGATCGAACCCAGATATTCTCACCGCGTAGGCCGGGATGTGGACAGCTACAGGTACGCTCTAGGATACGTGAACAAGAACAACTCTTGTCGAAGCCACAAAGTCTTGAGGCTTATAGATGATTACATCTATTTGGCCGTGAACCATGCACCCGAAAACCGGTTTTCATGGTATGAAATCTACGATATTGAAACCTATTTATGGACAACTCTTGACGTCCCCCCCATATTGGAGGATATCGTGTTATCAGCATGGTGTTTCTCTCAAGGGAAATACCTACTTTTGTGCTACAAAAAGTAACTCAGGATACAAACTCGACGATCACATAATCTGTTTTGATTTCACAAGTGAGAGAGTTGGGCCGCTTCTGCGTCTACCGTTTTGCGCTGGGCTTCATGACTATGTGACTTTATCTTGTGTTAGAGAAGAGAAGCTTGCGGCTTTACTTACCCACAACGAATCAAATCCATATGAGTTTGAGATATGGATTACGACTAAGATTGAGTATGAAAAAGTGTCATGGAGCAAGATTTTGGAAATGGATACAGGACCATTGGCTGACAGGCCGATTGCATTTACACATGAGAGTTTCTTTGTTGACGAGGAGAAGAATGTCTCCATGGGTTTTGATGACTTGAATCGCCACACAGTTAACATCATTGGAGAGGCCGGATACTTTATAGAATTGGATCTCGGAGTACCTGTAGCCGACATAAACTGTGGGGCACGAAGGCCACATTTGTGCCCTTATGTTCCAAGTTCAGTGCAAATCAAACAACCTCCCGGAGGCAAAAGGAAACGAAAAACCATTCTAGAAAAGCGTCAATATGATCAAAACATGTTGAGACTTGCCGCCTTTATAAAGCGAACCAAGCAGGAGGAAAATAAATGGAGAAAACGAGTCCGCGTGGGTCTAAAGAAGAAAACGATTTTTGAAGCCTAATTCAGCCTCTTTCGTTTACTCACTCTTTTTCTCATTGAATAAGATTACTATCATTAATTTGTTTCTTCCTATCTTTTTCGTGAACAAAGCTTTTGTTACTAAAGACCAATTCAGCTGCTTCTTGCTATTTGCGTTTCTTATATAGAGAGATTCAACACTAAAGAATTAAGTATCAAACTGGAGGGACCTGGTGCAACACTAGTAAAAATTGTTCTACACTGGGAACTACATGACTTGTACTTAAAATTAAACCCTCTATGGAATTATTTGCAGATAATGAACAAAACTTTTATAACTAAGACGGATTCAGCTGCTTCTTCCGATTTCTGTTTCTTAGAGAGCTTCACAGTAAAGCAGAAGAAGGAAGATATGATAACTAAGAGCTTACTGTTGATGGTGGCTCTTCAGGCTCAGACCGCGGATTCTCATTAGATTGTCTAGCAGATATGACCTTGTCAAGGGTTTGATCAGGGACAGTGATCCCTGTGGTTTCCATATCTGCAACTATGGCAATGGCTGCATCAAGTTCTCCAATGTCTAAACACAATGTGATGATCTCATCGTACAATGGGCTGCAACAGAAGACCACGGGTATTCAAATGTCATTGTTTATAGTCAAGTTTAGTCATATTGAACGCCTTAGACTAGCTTCTCTAACAGACTAAACCCAAAGAGAGGTGGTAACTGAGTTACCTGCCAAAAGAGTAGCCAAGACTGTGTGTCGTCTGCAAGATCTTCAAGAAGGCTGAAGGCATGGGAGCTCTTAAAGCAGCTCGTAATATCACTGCACAATCACCAATTGTTGGAATTCCACCCAGTTCAATCACCTACACAAATCCATTATCATGTATTATTATTATTATTAACATGATGGATCATTAAAAAGTTGTGTAATAATGCTTTAGGGGCTTGAAGGAACTCTTGCCTTTGTCATTAGCACAATTGCCAACTCGACTTCCCACTCTTGTGACCATTTCCTAGGAGTTCTGTTCTTAAAATCCTTTTCCCATGTCCAACCCCAAACGTCTGCTATTGTATACATGTCAGACACATCAAACACTTTTCTTTCCCTCATTTCTTTGAATGCTTCGAATGGGTCCTCTGGGAACCAATCCTCATCTGCATCATCCTGGTATGGAGGTAATCGGCATTGCGAAAACATGCTTAAACTATCAAATCCATGATCATGTGACTAATTAAATCATAAACATATCATAGTGTTATACGTACTAACCTCAAGTGTCATACGAGACGCCCTCTTCCCACGTTTCTTTGTTCTGTTTGCTTCATCGGATTCTTTCAAGAGTTGGACTCCAATCATTTGAAGATGCTTCTTCGCGTCAGCTGCCTTATTCTTCACTAACTCCTCTCCTTCTGCTCGATTCTCTGTTTCTGCAACAACCACTTCCTCTTCCTCTTCAGTTTCGTCATCATCATCATCTCCTTCTTGTTCCTCCTCATCATCATCCTCATCATTGTCAGCTTCTTTTGAAATATCTTCAATCGCTTTCTCCGACTCACCTGTAACCACTGATTCAGTCGTTTCCTTGGATTCAACTGAAGTTTCAATCAAGCCTTCTCCAAGAAACCGACGTTTCCAGAACTCTGTGTCTCCTTCATGTAGCTTGATTCGACATATTAAATCGTCTACTTCTTCATCGACCTATATTAAAACCAAACTTCGTTAGATGTAACAAGTACTAAAGATATATGTTTACCCAAATGAAATAAGGAGCATAAATTTACCTCCTCCTCTTCTTCTTCAATTGGAGGAACCCAAAGAGGTCGACCTCGAGATTTGTTTATTCTCCTTGCTTTTTGGACACGCTGGTAAAGCACATTTCTTGTTCCATCAATTGGCAAACCCTGAGCTTCGAGTTCTTCCTTTAACTCTGATACAACCATCTTGCTTGCTGCTTTCGGCTTCAAAAGATTCTGTGCAGGACCTTTTATTATGTTCCGTAATCTCTCCATCACTCTCATGTAATCAGATTCTGATGCATCTCCTAGAACTGGAAGACCTTCACTCTGTAAGGTTCTCAAGAGCTTCCTATGGTGAATTTTCCAATCTTCAAGGCATCTCTGTTTAAAGGATGTCTCAATAGGGTTTGAGTATATAAAACCAGAAGCATCAGGATCTAAAGGAGTTTTCCCTCTTCGAGGTACCCAACGCTTGCGCTCACCAGTAAGTCCCCCTTCCTCTATGTACCTAAAAATGTTTAAAGAATGTGAATCTTAGTATATCAAGACAACAACATGTAAGGAAAACACTATACTTTCTTTCTGACAATTAGAACAGAGCATTAGCGTATAACTTGTAAATGGGAGGATAGAATCTGATCAACAAAATTCCAGTCAAACCACGCAGAACTCTTGATTTTACCTCGCTACATAATCAATCTCATAGCCAAGTTCAGCTTCTTCTTGCAATGGTTCAATCCATGAGCTGACTAGTGTCCGATACTTTCTGCTCATAATCATGGCTCTTGGAGGTATAGGTTGGCTATCTTTGCGCATTGCATCTAAAGCATCAATAAGCTCAACAATTCTTCCTGGTTCAAAAGGTAGAGGGTAACGTTTAAAGACAGTAAATTTACGAAGGAAGAAAAAAAAGCATGTCACTAGCATGTTTTAAAAATCAACAAATATAACTTAAAGTATAAAAACAGAAACAAGGGAAATAGAGAACCACAATCATTCCCAGAAGGTGTTCAACATATGCCTCTGCATATTAGTATTTACACAGGTACAAGTGTATGCATTACCTTCTCGACACAAAGCCCTGAGATACAAAGAGAGAGGATCCTCAAATTTCCCTGCATTGTGTAAAATTGTTGTTCCTCCTTCAAAGTTTTTAAGTGCACGAAAATGTCTAATCGCTTCCTTCACAACACAATATTTCGTGAAGCACTCAACTAAGAGCCTGAAATGGATCATCATACAGATCATATAAGGATTTTTACAATAGAACGGGTAAAGTGGGTATAAATGAGTACAAATGAGTACAATACAGAATGAAATAAAGATTTTCTTACGCATAAGTCTTCACATTTGGTTGCACACGTTTGTGGTCCTCAACCATCATTCCAAGTAATTCAGCAACATCCTGAACCCTGTGATTCATGCAATAGGCTACCTGAAAATTTGTCCACTTTTACGAGAAATGTGTGCATTTAAGAATTACGATTACCTATCATATGACTCGGCTCTAGTGTAGGCTTGAATCACCCAGTTATATGTCTCAGTGTCAGGCTTCATAAATTCTATCAAATTTACATCAAGCCATGTCAAAAGCCATCATGCAACAACTAAACCAAACAATTGAAGCAGAAATTAGCTAAGAAAACAATACAAACCTTCACCGTACTCCATATTTTCGAATGTAGCATAAGCAACCTCGGGAATCCCACATGTAGCCTACACAATGAAAGCAAAGAAAAACCAATTTGATGTCAACAAAAAGGCTTACCATCTTCATTAGACAAAGAAGAAGCGTGTGTATACATTCCCAAATCCATAACAAACCTGCACACTAAGAAGACAATTGAAATGAAATGTTGTCGCCATTCTACCAGCTGCCTCCATTTCGTAAGAGATTTCTAAGGCATTAGAGTGATCTCCCGCTTTGCAATCTTCTTCAATCATCAGATCATAAAGATGATTTGTTGCTCTCATCCCACCTCTAGCACCCTTCAAGAAAACTTTATTCGCATCTTCCAAGTGATTGATCCTCATGAGCTCCTCTATAAAAGACCACAATCAAATTATAAACGATTACTCAGTAACCTCAATCCTGGTAGACACAAAGCAAGACGCATTTGATTCTAACACATAGTCTTAGTAGTAAGAGAGAATACCAACAAGAATGAGCCAAGCTTGACGAATGTCATAGTTAAGCTTTTCCATAGCGGCGAGAATTTCTAAGCCTCTTGTAGCATTTCCTTTCGAACCCGAGAGTCGAACCAAAGCAATCATAGTTTCAGGAAGCGGACGTTGGCCTGCACCTAGCTCCTTTCTCAACGAGTGCATCTGCAATCACACACAAACACACACCAAACAAATGAAAAAATTTCATCTTTCACTTCAAACACACCCAAGAAACTAAGAGTAAGAGGAAAGATCCAATTTTGATAAAAAAAATTGTTGACTTAAACCATAGCTCAAGTTCTATAAAGCACAACAATTCAAATTCGATATAGATTTAGCTCCGGCATTGAATGATTTCTTAAAGAAATAAAGTCTGCATCTTTAATTTAAGCTATAGAGAGAAGCATGTACCGCGCCATGTTCGTCGCCGTTAAGCGCGTGAGCTACGACCAAGCCATGGAAAGAACGAGGTCCAGGGCTAAGCCCAGCAGCAATCATGTCATAGATAACCTCAGATACACCTGAAGTATCTCGATTCCTAGCTCGTTCCATAAGCTCGTCCATAAAAGTGAGGCGGAGACTCCTCTCCAGGGCCGAGACAGCATCACCGCTTCCGAAAGACAAGGAGGAGTCATTCTCAGCTCCGTCGCCGCGCTTCTGCTTCCTCCTCCTCCTTGGCTTCTTCTCCGGTGCAGAAATTGAGCACCTAATGGAGGATAATCCGGCGGCGCGACGAGGAATTGTGTGGATTGAATTGGAGGGAAACGGAGGATTGAGGAACAAGAGTGACATTTTTTTGGCCAAAGTCTGGGTTTTTTTTTTTACTGGGGAATGGATAGTGATTTGAAATTTAGATTATTATTTAATTCAAATATAGACCGATGATCATGTGAAGATCACGTGAGTAATTTTCTTCAAAAATTTTGTTAGTTTTATCGAACCAAATCGGATTGAACCAGATTTATAACATTAGTCACATAAGCGAACTAAACCAAGAAAGATTTCCATAATCTGTACATTATGCGGTTTTGAGCTGGTCAATGATGCATGGATGCGATCTTTCGAAAGGTCAAGGGCTTAGCCAAGAATCCACATTATGATACACACCGTTTTTCTTGGATACCATTCATTGTTAAACCACTGGTTCCTGATTTAGTTTATATAAATAACACTATATCATATACTTTCGAAAGTAAAATATCAAACACAAAAGTGAAAATAAGTTTATTTACAAACATATGAAGATGTTACGGTTAGTTCAAAAAAAAAAAAAAAAAAAAAAATGAAGATGTTACGGTGCCATATATACCTCTAGTATGTTAAATAGTTGAGTAAATAATATGAGAGAAGTATATGAAACTAAGTTTTTATTTCATTTCTCTAGTATATATGAAATATATGAGAAATAATTTATCATCTAGATAAGATTATTTATGATTTTGGTAGAAATCATGAGAGGGGGAAATTAAGCATCAATTAATTGATTTCTAGATCATCATTCCCTCAAAAAAAAAAAAAAAAACAAAACAATAACTAGTTATCTCATTTAGCTAAAAGGACATAAAGAAGCAGAGACAACAATACTACACTCTTGCTTATCTAAACAAATCAAAATCTCAAAAAGCTATGGTATATATGAAATATTCGAACTCAATCCTTTGTTCTTCCGTCTTCGGTTCAAGCTCCCAAGCATTTCCGAATCAAACCAATACACCTCAAAAGCCAAGTAAAACATTGGTTTGCCTATTTATAACAATTTGAACTTTCCAGAGAGACAGAGTAGATGCTTTGAAATGTGAAGTACAGAGATTGAGTTAAAACAAAACAACTCAAAAGTGTAGAATATAATTCCACTTCAAACACTTACATAATCAAAAAAATTAAGATTTAGAGTCACGAGTTTTGCAGCAAAAATATATATTTCGGTCACTTCAGAGAACAATGTAATATTTTTTTTTCTTCTTATCTTGTAAATTCATTCTACTGTTTTAAAAAGCTTGAAGTGTCATATGCAAAAACGAATTAAAAATTGTCTATATTTCGATGTTATTTATCTGATTTATATTAAAAACAGCCATCAAACAAAAATTTAACATTTCTCTAAAAAAATGTCCAAAGAGATCGTGTCTTAAAGTCAAGAATATGAAATTCAAAATTAGATGAAAAAGAAAATTACTTTTTTTTTTTTGGTCAAAAGAAAATTACTTTTTATGTTCTGATTTTCAGCAGTTCCAAGACCCGTAGTTTCTTGATTTTTTTTTTTTTTTTAAGTTTAGTTATATATAGTGCAACATCAGTATATGTACTTTTGAATGTATACCTCACAATGCTTAATCAAATTAAGTTAAGATGATATAAGCCGTTGAAAATAGAATTTACTCTTATTTGCACAAACTTATCAAATCCAAAGTAAGATATGATGTACCCTATCTTCTTTATGACTTTGCATATATATGCGGAGAACAAGAAGAAATATACATTAACAATGTTTCTATATATATATATATATATATATATATATATATATATATATATATATATATCAAGCTAGCATACGTAAATTGGAATTAAAATGTAAATTATTTATTAAAAAACTAGAGAAAAGAAATAGTAAAGTATTTATATTTTCATCTTTTTGGATATATAATATAAACAAAACATAAATATAGTCAGATTCGCGATATATTTATCATTTAAAAAAATGAGATCAAATAACGCATATATAATTATTCAATTAAATTAGCCATATAATTGAATTCATATCAATTTCATCACATACATACATTATCTCTTTTTAATAAATGTGATAGTGCTTTAAAATTTAGAGTGGATCACGAAAATATGTATGATTTTTTTACTAATTGATATGGAGATTTGCATGACCTTATGATATTGATATAAATAATATGATATATATATTATAAATTATGAAGTATATTAGTGCGTTCAACAAGAGAAAACCATATTTTACTATATATTTTATAAGCCACAAGAAACGACTATAAAAAAGAAATCAGACATAGATATAAGAAACCCTAAATTCCAAAAGAAACGCATGCAGATATATATGTCAAGTACACGTGTACGTGTAGACATTGTTGTATTTTTTAGGATTGGAATTTGGAAATACGGTATAGATATATAATTAATGAGCCGTCATCCATCAAGCACCCAGGAGATGGTTAATGAGAGGGAGGATCTTGGCCTTGGTTAAGGGTTTTTCCAAGCAATGGTTAAGTCCGGCTTCCATAAAAGCCTTACGCTCTTCTTCTTGGTCAGCTAGTGACGTTACCCCAACAATCATTGACGTCACTTTCATTTCTCTTAGCTTCTTAGTTGTCTAATTAAAACCAACAAAGAACATAAAAACTATATTAAAGAGGAGGTTATTTAGTGTAATGATGATCGATCCAGTTAAATTGTTTATTTGGTAAGCAAATTAAGATCATTGAGTGTACCGAAACTCCATCCCTCTCGGGCATTTCCTTATCCATTAGAATAAGGTCGAAAGATGCCCCACCGCGGTGGAGAATCACAGCCTCCTCACCATTCTTTGCCGTCTGAGAAATTCCTCCGATCGTTTTGATGATCATCTCGTGGAGTCTACAGTTTAATGGATCATCATCGACGATCAACACGTTTAGTTTCTTCTTCACTTCTGTTGACTTAGTTTTCTCAGTACCTTCTGTTGCCATCTTCGATTTCTTTTCTCTCAAGAATCTTCACCAAAAAAAAAAAGTTAAGTTCAAATGAAATTAAACTATATGGAAATTAAAATGCGTGTTTATGTTTCTATATGTGTGCGTGTGTGATCATCATCGTGCATGTATGGTTTCGTGTTTGTATATAGATGTATCTGTATCACATTAAATTACATATGTATAATGAAATAGTGGCCTACGATTTTGGATTCTAAAGAAGATCTTGTGAATTGTGTTCTAAGAACTTATAGCCATTGCATCGAAATTTATAGTTAAGAAAAAAGTGAAAAGAAAGCATATTTTTAAATGTCACAAAGAAAAGCATCTTTTTACATGAATTTGGCTGAAATGTAATCTACATTACATTCTAACTCATGAGTTGTTTAACAAACAAATATGAGAACAAGTAAATCAAAATGGTGAACAAATTTAAAGAATGTATAAGAAACATGAGTGAAAATGAAAAAAAAATATCTTTAATTAATTCTTCTAGATCATAATAAGATTCTATGTTCTTTTATTTATTTCGTTCATATCGTTTATAAGTAATCTAAAGAAAGTATGTTACTTTGATATTGTAGACATAAGAAATGTAATCAAGTTTAGATACTTTCATTCTATTGTTTGTTGGGTTTAAAGGTTTTGTTGAACGGTTGTAAAATCATTATCGAACCCATCTGCTAATATAGAAAGACGAATATTCTCATGTAAGTACTTTTATAAAAGCATAGAAGTTCATGCTTAAGCAAATTAAGCATACAAGTTAACCCATCAAAATCTACTACTTTATATGTCAGTAGTGTTCAATTTCGTATTCGTAATGCCTTCTTATGAAAATGGCTTATGTACACTCACGAAAAAAGGAAGAAAAAGAAGTAAAATCCTACTTTAGGTTTTCAAAATATATCTTACGTATTTGTTATTGTCTATTGTTTTATAGTGCATTTTTTTTTTCAACAGTTCTACCTTTTTGTAATTGTGAGATAATTTGAAGATATTTTTACTCGAAAACCAAAAATTCATCAATCTATTGAGTGGATATGGTACTCAATTTTTGTTTTTTTTTGGTTAGTGTTATTGTCATATATAGATGCTACAGCTTAATTTCTGCTCACTTTGATTACCTTTTTCAAAGTTTAGTAGCCCATTGGGCCCAATATGAATGAGGCCTATATTTATAATAAATCTAAAAGTACACCTACCGGCCCATTAATATCTGAAATGTCTTGCTTTACTGATGAAATTTGGTATTTATACCTTCTCTGAAATGTTGTATTACATTTTAGTTATTTATCCACAGGTAACTTCAAAGAATAGAGTTTTTTTCTTTCTTTTGGTGGTAAGAACTTCAAGAATATAGTAATTAAATGCTCAATACCTCAAATTATCATAATAAGTTCGTTTGGTGTTTTCATAAACGAGGAATGTCAAAATTTAAAATTGGCTTGTCTAGTTTGACGCTACGATAATTGATAAGGGTCCATCAATAAATGTCAATAGTGAAAGAATATTAAACTTCTCTATGTATATATTAAATTTTAAATACAGTGTACATACATATTTCACCCACTTCACCAACTAGAACTCAACTCCTTTATTATTATTCACATTTCAATGTCTGCGGAATACCTCAACAAACTTTCTTCTGTACTCTTCCCATCCTTCACATATTAATGAGCCATTACCACAGTAATGTATAGCGACAAGAATTTTTTCGAAAAGTACAGAGACACATATCATTACAATAACATGCAATGCAACAGTATAGATATTTCGTGTATATAATATAGTCCGGCAAAGAAATAAATAAGAGTTAAACTGTGACTCCTCATATTTAAAATTAAAATAGACTTCTTTTGACTCCAAATTAAAAGGAAATAAAAAAAGTTGGTTGCGTTTTTTAACTGGAGAGTTAAGTCATGTGCTGCCACTCTCAAATTTTCTCACATATATAGTCACTCATTTTTGAGTCCAGATGCATCATTTTTCGCACGTGATTTCGCCATACCATCATAATATCGATAATTATTTTTAGTAATCAATTTTCTTAAGAGCTGCGAGAGTTTATTACTCTTCTGAACCTATATACTACAGAATACAGTACATTTAATTAGAGCAAATAATTAATGGCTCATTGTTGACCGAAAGCAATTATTAATGGCTCATAAGTCATACCCTTTTAAATGATTACTGTATTAATTGAGATGAAACATGAAACCCTCAATAACTCTTTGTGTATGTATTTTAAGCTTTTTGTTAGTGAAGCTAATTATCGTTTATAGCCATGAGTTTTCATTTACCATGCATGCATTTTGGTTGGTTTATTTGTGTGTTTTGGTTATAAATAAAAATAGTTAAGTAAACTGAATCAACGTGGATTAGGTTAAAAAAATGAAGATTAGGTTTATGATCTCTATTTTGGTTTCAATCGAGTAGATCCTCAATTTTCCAGAGATAAAAAAGTTTATACAATTTTCATAATTATATATATAAAATAAAAATAAAATTACTTTAATCAATTAAGATTCGTTTATCAAATCTCGTTTTATTCAAGTTTAACGCTCGTAGTTCATATTAACTATATAGTGTTGAATCAATCATCTCGAGTAGAAAAGAAAACCATATATGATATATCAATCACTCCAAGTCTCCAAATATTACATGATAATTGGCACACACACCAAAAAGGACTAAACTAAGCTAACCAAGATACAACAGATCTTTTTCCAAAACAAAAAAAAAAAAAAAAAAAAAAAAAAAAAAAAAACAAGATAAAACAAGCAAAGGCATCAAACTACACGACCGACAATAAAAACTCTCTTGCATGCTTAAACTAATTGTAGCCATCAAACTTATTAATAACCACAGTAATAACAATGCAAAGTACCAATGGAATGACCTTGACATTTAGTTGACATAAATCACTTAAATTAGATTCTAGAAGAATCCAAGAGCATGGCGGTGCTAAGATTCATAGGGTGCATATACTTGGAGGAACCAGTCAGGATCTGATTAACGATGATCCTATTGGCTTTCTCTGTCGGATGAAACGCATCCCAAAACGCATATAAGTCTCTATTCGGACACAAATTCGAGATTGGTGTGCATAGTCCTATGCCATTGTACGGTCCTTGTCCACAACATGCCACCTTCGATGTCACAAACCCTACACATACACCACACATATAAATGCTTACAACTAAATGCTTACAACTACTATCTAGCTATAATCTTTTATGAACATTTTCGAGAGAGTTTGATCATAAGATAACAATATAACAAAGTACTCAATTCAAATTCGCAGACCCTACAAGCAGGTCTTCTTGTTAAACATTTCTTGTTGAAATGATATTGATAATGTATAGCAACCGACACATATGTATTAATTATTTATCACTAATACAATGTTTTTGATGAAAAAGTGGTCGTGGTCGTGCTCATTTATGAAAAGATGGTCCTACAAAGTGGTCGTGCTCATTTATAAGTTTTCGTACAACTATATATAATTACTCCAAAAATTGGTCCTTTTATGCTTATATCATTAAGTCTTATTGGACCAATTTTTTGAAGTGTTACCTTTTTCCTTTGAAATCAGTAACTAAACCCTTTCGATATTTTTCAACTATTAGTAAACATTTATATTTATAACCAATTATCAAAAAAAGTTATAAAGAGATGGGTTATATAATTACCAAATTGTTCAGGATTAGTTAGATAATCCATGTTCATTTGATAGGCATTGGCTGCTACAAAAACGTCTTGACCAATTTCAGCATTGACTGATGCGATCAAATCAACTAATCGCGGATTGAACAAAGCGGCTGCTGTTTGGAGGGCGCCATAGCACTCGCCATTGCGGCTATGCTGAGCCAGTTCCGCGGGTGCACATCCCATCGCACCAGTTCCAGTTACTAAAACTCTTCTTGCTCCCAGTTCGTAGAGTTTCTTTTTCAATGAAAACCAAAGAAGAAAAAATATAAGCATGCACTATGAAAGGAGAACAAAGTACATCATTAAGTTATTGTTACATTAAAAAAAAGCTATTAAATTTTCCTAATCATTTTTTTGTAAGTTATGTTCCCTGTTTTCAAGAGAATCATGACATCAACTACATAGTGACATAGCAAAATAAATTATTGAGGGGTCACTTATCAAAATGCAATTTCCTATAGTGAGACAACAATTAATAAATTAAACTAGTAAATGATAATGCAAGATTCAAGATTCCAAGATTTTAGCTAATTTAGTGTAAGCCCCCAATTTGTTACATGACAATATATAATTCAGTATACACATGAAAATAAAAGAGAACTAGAATTGTTTTTCTACTTACTCTGAGAATCTTTCCGTATTCGGAAATGAGATACACAACGTAGTCTGGTAACGCGAATTGGCGAGAACGAGCTGAAAACGGAATTACATAATAATTGTTGACGAAATCATTACCACCGAGTGTGATTAGGACAAGAGCTTGGTTAACTAGCTGTTGTGTAGCTTCTGGTCCGATCAATGCACTCACTCGTTGCTGGTACTGTTCGAAGTATTCCATCTGTTTAGAAATTCTAATTATGTTTACCTGCCAAACAAAAACATAATTAACAATTAGCTATATAAAACGACTGCGTTTTAAAAATTACAAGCAGTGTTTGAACCTAGAAAAGGCACGGCAGCGTTTCCATTAATCGAAACATTCGTAGTAAAAGACTATATTAATCTTAATCATCACGTTAACAGTAGTTTTCATTAAAGATAATGTCGTCAATCACGTGTTTTTGAGTTTTCCCGGAGTAACATGTAGAAAGACGGATATACCCTCAGATATTGAGGATAATCTTTTTTGTGTTTTCGTTTTCTCGGGTAATATTGCCCTCGACACGAAAATTAATGGAGAGGGTAAACACGTCTTGTCGTGCATTAATATTGCAACACTTAAATGCGTTATTTAATGCGATAGTTCTAAATTTTTTTGAAGTTGCTTACGAATTGAATTCCAGTATCGTTGAGGATTCCAATTCCGGCGGAGGCAAAATTAGCACCGACTAGAAGATTTTCTCCGGTGAGATGTGGGCTAAGGTACGGCAAAGTCGACGGCATGCCTATAGCCTCACCTAGTAGAGAGAGACACACATATTAAACAAACATTAAAGATTGATTAAAGAACCATTATATCGTAGATAGCCATGCTTGAATCAAATATGCTTACTGATAATGTCGGGAATGTTAAGGCCGTTAGAGAAACGTCCGGTGGGTCTACGGGTCGGGTAGTCGATACCATACGGGTAATTGTCGGCGCGGGCAGTGGTGACAAGGTAATCGTTGTTTCCATTGTCGACGAGAGAGTCACCGAAG